CCTGCTCCTGCTGCTCCCTGCCCGCTCCCGCTCCCTGCCGTGCTCCTGCTCCCTGCCCGCTCCCGCTCCCTGCCCTGCTCCTGCTGCTCCCTGCCCGCTCCCGCTCCCTGCCCGCTCCCGCTCCCTGCCGTGCTCCCGCTCCCTGCCGTGCTCCCGCTCCCTGCCCGCTCCCGCTCCCTGCCCTGCTCCTGCTGCTCCCTGCCCGCTCCCTGCCCGCTCCCGCTCCCTGCCCTGCTCCTGCTGCTCCCTGCCCGCTCCCGCTCCCTGCCCGCTCCCGCTCCCTGCCCTGCTCCTGCTGCTCCCTGCCCGCTCCCGCTCCCTGCCCTGCTCCTGCTGCTCCCTGCCCGCTCCCTGCCCGCTCCCGCTCCCTGCCCTGCTCCTGCTGCTCCCTGCCCGCTCCCGCTCCCTGCCCGCTCCCGCTCCCTGCCCGCTCCCGCTCCCTGCCCGCTCTCGCTCCCTGCCCGCTCCCGCTCCCTGCCCCGCTCCTGCGGGACGGCTCCTGACGGACACGGCCTCGTGGTTCGCTGTGTGTCCCGGGCCCGGCCGCCTGTCCCCGCCTGTCCCTCTGTGGCTCCCGGGCCCGGCCGCCTGTCCCCGCTCCGCCTGCTAAGCTGATGCTGACAGAGCGCCGGGGTTCTTGTGGTAACACTGTCCCTGTCTTCTGTTTCTTTCCCCCTCTCTCTGTGCCTTGTCCTTTCCCCCTTCAGTAGGACCACTCACCTTTTTCCCATCAAGAAACGCTTCTCAGATATAATATTGCCACATTTGCACTTTATTTATGTCCGATAAATCTATCAAAAGAATCCTCCCCAGCTCTGGCTCCGTGGAACGGGACACACCTGTACAGTTTTTGCTTTGAGATGGGCAGGGCAGCATGTTCATTCTTTCCAGAAATTTGGAATGTTTCTATTATGATCACTTGATGAAGGTGGGGTTAGTGCCGTTCACACTGACAGTCGTTAACCATATCTCTTCACGGCTTTAGTGTGCAAAGAGATTATAAAACCCCAAACCTTTACATCACCTTGTGTAGTGGGAGAATGAAAAAAAAAAAGGGTTGATTTTTATTAGCATATTCTAGCATTATTATATCTATGAATCTATATTTGCAAGAGGTAGTGATGAGGAAAATCAGTGAGAGAAGCTTCAGCATGTGCTTGGTTGGCAGCAAAGCTGCTCAGCCCTGGAGGTGATACCTGAGAGGCATTTCCCTCCAGGACCTCAGTCTGAATAGTTCTGTGTTACTGCTGCCACTCTCAGTTGAGGCAGCTGGACTTTGGAGAAAGAGCTGGACTGCAGAGGGCAAAGAGAAGCATGAACTCTCTAGGTAGCTGAAGCAGAAGACAAAAATACATCTTTTTCATGAATCCTATTTGCATATTCAGATACACCATTGATAGCTGTATTTTTTCCTTTCCTGACAGTGAGAATAAGGCTTTTGGGCAGTGGAGGCTGGACTAATTGTGCAAGTTTACAGGTTCTTTAAAAATAAAGTTATCAACAGCAAGACATAAAAGGGAGGTGCATCATTATTACTAGAAAAATAAATAACTTTCATTATTTCTTTTGAAAGCATAAATTACAACAAACTGTTCAATATGAATTGTTCAGTTAATGGCTTTCCATGCCTCATTTATGACACACTCTTGTATAAAATCACTGAAATTATTGAAGTGCACAGTGCTGCAGAGACACATCATTTTCTTTTAATGAGTATTCTCAGCAAAAGTTGATGAGGTTTTGTTCTCTAAGAAACACAGAATTAGTGTATAAGAATGTGTAAATTACTGGGCTTTGAAATATGTTTCATTGAAGCACCCACTTTATGATTAGATTGTAGATAGAACCAGTGCTGAAATGCAGCCACCTTAAAAGTCTGTTTCTTAGGGAATACAGAGTGGGAAATACTCTCTATGAAAGCTGGAAAAAACACTCTTGTATAACTGCACACTGAATTCTTGTGCTGTTTGTTGGGAGACCATCCATCCTGCTCGTGTCAGCTGACCTAAGGCAATTAATAAGGCAATCCTCACACGTTACTGTTATCCAAACCAATGCTGTGTTAATGCAGCGCTAATTAATGCTCATTTGTGTACTCTGAGTGTCCTGTCAGGGGCGTGTGGAGCTTGGCTGGCAGAGGGCTGGGCTGGGAGCTGTGTCACCCAGCCCCTCTGAGGCTGCCATGAACAGGCAGATCTCATTTACATACCTGATTGATGGTGAGCTCTGTGCCATGTGGGATTTTCACACTTGCACACACTGCACTGCAGCTTACATAAAGATTCTTGGCCAAGTTCTAGTGGTGAAATGTTAATTTCTTGGTGGTTCATTAGAATAACATTAATCATGAACTCGGATTGTGTTCACCTTAGTCTGAAACTTTATAACTGAAATTAATCAGGTTCTGTAGTTAGGTAGAACAATAAAATGGAACCGGGCTTTGTTATTTTATAATAGAGCTATTAATTCACTCAAATGTTAGACTTTCTTTGAGGAATTTAAGGAACATCTGCTTTGAAGTATGGGAACTGAATCCAGCTGCTTGTCTGTGACACTGTAAATGATCATATCATTAATTAACATTCACCATCTTTGGGGGCTTTCATTGCTAGTGTAGCAAAAGCAAAATCAAGAATTTATTGCAGTTCAGTGACACTGGAATCGTGGCTTATTTCATAGGTCATAGTGTTGCCCTTGCACTTGTATGTTGGTTTTTTTAGCCTTCATGTTATGGTTTTTGCACAATTTCTGTTCTCAGGTCCTGTCTGAGGATAGGAAATAATAGGAGATAAAGCATGCCTTGAGAGAGAAAGAGAGAAATGGAGTAGAGCAAGCCTAGTGCACAGCTTCTGAGGCTGGCATTTTCCACTGCTTGTGTGCTGCCAAAAGAAGTCTGATACTTGTGATGTATGTCTGAAAACTGTGTATATTTTGGGGACTTTTATGTTACTGGTAGCTCTCAGATCCCTTGAGAGTAGTTTGTACTGCAAATTTTCATACCTTGTTAATTGAAGCAGTCATTTGCTTTCTTGTATAGATGGTGTTTGTTTTTTTTTTTTTTACAGCCTTGAGATACATGCAGGAATTTGTCCAACGAGTCATTATTGTTTTTATCCAGCCCCTTCCCTGGGGAGGAGCTCCAGCCAGCTGCTTGGGCTTGCTTTGCTGCTGGGTGTTTCTGCCCTGTGCATTGCTGCCCCAGCGTGAGCCCCTGATGGATGCTGGTGGGAATTGTTGCTCGCAGCCAGGTTTATTTTTAACATTGTCTCGGGTTTTTCACTGCTAGAGGTTATATTGTCTCTCAGCCTGTATTTTGCAAGTTTAATGACTTCCCCCAGCCTTTTCTTGGCGAAAGGACCTGCCTAGTTCTGGTGGTGTCACTAACTGAGACAGGGGTGGATGCCTTGGCTCCCTCTGTTCCTGGTGTGTGGCTCTTGCTGCAAAGGGAAATGATACATGGGAGTGACCCCTTCTTGGTGAACACTTGGACCCACAGACTCCTTTCTTCTTGGCTGTCTTAGCTGGGAGGCTGGGGCTTTATTGGGGATGCTGTTGTGTTTTATCCATGGTGCAAAAGCATTTCCTGGTGCTGTGCAGCCAGAATCAGAGCCCAACTGGCAGCAGTCTGGTGGCAAGCAGGGGTACCCAGGCTGAGGTCAGGATTCAGGACTGGGTCTTTTCTGGGCTAGCCTAACCTGTGTTTTTTCATCATGAGGATCTTTTAGAAAAGGTACCTACCTGCCATCTAGCTTTCTTGGAGACATCTGTCTTACTGAGAGTTACAGCTTTCAGGCTGATGTAGTCCATGTTTAAAAAGGGTATCCACTGAATATGTGTTAGCAGTCTGGGACTGGGGTGGGCACACATCCCACACAACCCCTGCTGCTCTGGGCCCTGAGTGCTGGATCCATTGTCACAGACATCTTTTGTGGAAAATCCTTTCTTTAGGATTTTCCCTTCTGGGAAGCTGAGGGCCCAGAAGGAGAATGTAAACAATGGTTATCTGCTGCTGTGAAATGCAACAGGTGCACCTGCACATGTTGCTTGTGTACAATTAAGGGCCAATCAAAGACAAGCCTTTCTCTGGGACAGAATCAGAGAGAGCTCCATTGTTATTGATTCCTGTTTTATTCTTGGCTTAGCAGCTTCTGAACTTTTCTCTCTATTCCTATTAGTATAGTCATAATGTATTATATATCATAAAATAATAAATCCAGCCTTCTGATCATGAGATCAAGATTCTGGTCTCTCTCTCTCTCACCCTGAGGAACCCTTGCAAAGCCATGCAACAATCCATCTTGCAGAGCACTGCCATTCTGGGGTAACACAGAGCCTGGTGATTCAGATGCCTGGGAGGTGATTGGGAGAGTAGGAGGAATCTGTCAGGGGCTGATTCTGTGACTCTGCTTCTGCCATTTGTCCTGTGGCATCTGGAACTGGGAGCCTTTGATTCATGATTGAGGAAGAGAAAAGGGGAAATGTTGGTGTGTATGTGAATGTCTGCCCAGCTATGCCTCTTTCAGCATTGATCCAAACCTCCTGGTGTCTCTGCATGAGAGAATCTTTTCCCATGCTCCCCAGTCTGAGCTGACCAGTGCTGGGGCTGGAACCTTTGAACACATTTGGGCATTGGGAGCAGCTCCCTTAGTGCCAGGCCCTTGTTCACACACTCTCAATGCTCCAGGATCCAAGCACACAGGAGGGAGGACAGAGCAGAACAACTGGAAGCACCTTTTGGGAGGAGCTGGGTCCTTCCTTCTGGCTCCAGTAGCCAGAATGCCACAACACTGCACCTCAAACCAGCTGTGGAGGGATTCAGGTAATTCCTCCCTGCAGCCTGAGCAGCACTGAGTCACTCACAGCTCCACAGTGACTCCTGGGTGTTTGTCAGCAGTGGGCAATGAGCAAAATGGGTTTTCAGACTCATGTGTAGGAAAATTCCATAACAGATTCAAGAACCAGTGTAGTGAGGAAATACAGAGCTGAAGTGTGCAGGTGTAAGAGGTGTCTTAAAAAGACAATTAATGTTTTGAAGAGGAAATAATTTATGCAAAATATGTTACAAAATCGAAGTGCTAATAAATAAGCAGTACAATGTATTTGCTTTTGACACTTTGTTTCCACTTAACAGGTACTGAATGCAGGTTGATTTGTTACCGATTTTTGAAGCTGGTTTTCGTTCTATACACCTTGTTTTGTACAAACAGTTGCCCTGTAATTTTAAAATTCAATCTTCTGCTTTGAAACTACATGAAAATATGGTAGGATAAAGATCCAGAAAAATAGATTTGAGGTTATATAATTTCTCTTTATTATAAAAAAGTTGCTTCACCATATGAAACTTTTTTTTCCTATATTTTGGAAGGCTTATGTTCCCATTTTGTTTTTCACAGAGTCAGCATGATATGATGTCTTCCTAATTTCTGTAATCTTTTATGATTACAGGGTAGTGTGTAGTGGTATAAAAAGTTACTCTCATACAGTGTTGAGAAGTCTTGAAGATTTAAAACAAAAGAATGGGATATAAGAATGCTTCAGTCCAGATATTAAATGACAGACAAATAAGCAATGTAGTAATTGTTAAAGACTTAATACTACATTATTTTTTTTTTCTTTAAAGGTTTTGGGCTTTTTCTTTGTTTGCTTTATCATAATGTTAAAGGACTGTAAACTTTTAGCATTTTTTCCAAATGACTAGATTTTTCAGCAAGTGGATGTTTCTTTTGAGTGACATTTTACATTCTAGGAGTAGTATAAGGATGTGTTTCTGTTGCCACTTCTGTCAGCAGCTGCCTGTGACAGAAGTAGGTTTTGGACCCCTTTGTCTTTAAGCAGAAATGCAAATGCCTGATTTGGCAGGCTCTCACAGCAGATTTTGTAGCTGCCTGTTGAAGTCTCCTGTCCTGTATTGTTGTGCAGAACAGTGAGACTTAATAAAATATCATCAGCCTTGACTACCAGTTGCATAACCAAGCTTTGTTGTTAAAAACCAGGCTGTATTTCAAGGCAACAGGTAAGTTTGAGAAGAATTAATTTTTTTTTTTAGTTTTCATTTCTAGGAAATATATATATATATATTTCAGGAATTTCTTAGAAGTTTGAATAGTTAAGCCCTCCCTCTGGAACCAGTAGATAAAATTCTACACATTAAACACAGTAAAAATGGTGCATATTCTGCAAAGGACAGAATTTTAGATTAAAGTTGTCTGGGCACAAAAGCAGTAACAAAATGATCCCTACAAAACAGAGTAACTTAATAACACAAGGAATAACTTTTGTTAATTTGAAGCTTTAGAAACTGAAGCTTGTAAAGTAAGATGTAATTAAATTATGGCACTGTACATACCAGTTGTTCTTGGTAATTGAAACTTTACAATATGAAAAATACATTACATCTGTACAGTTTATACAGGTAGGTAGGATGAGTTTTGAAAAAGATTCACTTTCGAGGGCCATACTCTGAAGTCAAAAAAATACTGCACAACTGAACTAATTACAAATTGTAGACTGGAAACAATTAATCTTTGTGATTGACTTTTAATTTGCACAGGGATCCTACACTCCACAGAACTGCCTGCTCACTGGTGTCCATAGCTTCCCCCAGGGTTTGGATGCAGCCCCTGCTCCAGGGTTCCCTAGGGCAGCTGCTGCCCCTGTTCCCTGCTCCAGGGTTCCCTAGGGCAGCTGCTGCCCCTGTTCCCTGCTCCAGGGTTCCCTAGGGGCTCCAGGGCTCCCTAGGGCAGCTGCTGGCCCTGTTCCCTGCTCCAGGGTTCCCTAGGGGCTCCAGGGTTCCCTAGGGGCTCCAGGGTTCCCTAGGGGCTCCAGGGCTCCCTAGGGCAGCTGCTGGCCCTGCTCCCGGCTCCGTGCTGCCGTGGTGATGGTGCTCAGGTCCAGCTCCGCCTCCAGCCCCGTGTCCATGGGCTCCTCCTGCCTGCTGCCCTCGTAGGGCTTGTGGGCCAGCAGCTCGTGGTGCACCCCGCAGTAGCTCAGCGTGGGCTGCTCGTAGGCCAGGAACGTCGACATGTTCATGGACAGTGGGATCTGGGCAAAAACAGAGGGGACAAGCAGCGGTTACCAAGGGACATTACCAAATTGCCTGAATTGCAGGTTGGAAAAGCAGGCTGGCTGCTCTCTGTGTCCCCGTGCCACTCCTCTCCACCCCAACCCTGCTCCTCTCCAGGGTGTTTTAACCCTCACCTCCACCACCTTGGATCTCGAGGCCCAGGGCTGTGTCCATGCTTGAATGTGTTTGAGAAGATTAAGACGTGATTCAAGTTAAATTATCTTTAGAATGTAATTAACCTCAGCTACAATCACTGTGACAGGGAATATTGCACATTAAATGTAAATGCTTTTTCAAGTGAGTGGCTTGAATTTGTCAGTGAGTGTGATACCTTTGGTCTGCTTGGAAATACAGGTGAGAGGGTTTCTACTATTGAAGTGCTTGGGGAAGGGGACCTCAGCCCTCCTGGCACTGTACCCAAACAGGGAACATCCCTATTTGTATCTGCTCCTTTGCAGCTTTCCTTCCTGTTTTCATTCCTTATGGGGTGTGTCTCAGATTTCTAGTTATGAAGAACCTCCTTTGAAGTTCTTTGAAATTAATAAATAATCTAATAATATCACAGCAATTGTAGTAGTTCTCATCTCTGACAGCAATTCTGGAGTAAAACCCACTGCAGTGTTTAATTACCAGTGATATGTGAGCTTCATATTGTCTGGAGTTCAGGTTCAGGTGAGCATCCGGATGCCCCAGCTTATCTTAGATTTTCAGTTCAGAAGTCTTCCCATTGCAGTTTCTATTCAAGTGGCATCTGTTCTGCAGGCTGAATTTCATTGCATATATTGCATTTCTGTGCAGTGAGGGGGAACTTCTGGAAACCCTCTGTCTTTTCAGTCAGGAAGTGTAAAACTCTAGACTTACTTTACACAGAAGGTGCAGCTAAAAGTTTGTACTTACAAAACTGTATGGCAAACCAGAATATTTTTATAAATAATTCTGTTCAGTCCTGAAAAGAATGTAGTCCAGTTTGGAATGTTGATTTTTTTTTCTTCATTTTTCTTTTGATCATCGCTGGCAGTTGAAAGGTTACCACAGACTAAAAGGAAAACTTTTTTTTCTTTAAAAAAAAAAAGGAGGCAGATAATTTGGGTCTGGTCTCTGTAGCAATTACAGGGATCTGCAGGAAATGGTTTTTTTCTCTAGACTGCAGAAGTGTATTTACCTCTCAACAGCTGTGAACTGGCTGGGGAGGAACGCTCGTAGCTCCAGATGAATATCTCAGCAGTTGGCAAAGGTGGGAAAGGTTCTTGCAAAGGCCTTACAGCATTTATTAAGCTTCTGCTGTTGTGCCTGTCTTGCTACCTGATTGCTTGACCTTGGCTGCCCTTTCATAAGACACAAAATTGCATTTTTTTCTGAATGTATTGTATTTAGAATTAGTGGCAATATTTTCAGCCTAAGGATTTTGGTATATTGTTAAATTTCATGGACAAGGGGTGTTCAAACCTCTCGGGGCGATTTCGAGACTCAGCCATAGAATCCTGAGAATAAAAACTTGGAAAACAAAGGCATAAGGGGACAGCCACAGTTCTGGGTGGCTTGAGAATGTTGTGATGGGAAATTACAATAGGGCAATGGAATATTTTCCATGAAGATGACAGAGCTGAAAAACAGATGATCATGAAGAGGTGGGATGAACATCAACCTCACTGAAACAGGAGAATAAAGTGAGCTGAAGGATGGAAGCAATAGAAGTGATAGAGCTGTGATGTGCCATTCTGAAAATGTACAGAATTACAGAGTAATGAGAGTGTCATGTACAGAACAGGCATGGGAATGTGGTATATCAGCATTTGGCCAATAGGTGAGAATTTCATCTGTTTCATATTCAAGTTTTGCTGTTGCCTTCAATTAAAAAAAGGAGCAAGCCCTTATAGTACATCCCAGGGAACTATACAGCTTTTATGGACACAAATCAAAATGTAATGCTTTATGTGAGGCCATGGGAAGAGTCTTGTTATTTCAAATTAACTTCAAAACAAACCTGATACTTCACCATCCATCAGTTTGTCTCTGTGACTTCTTTTCCTTAAGGAGTCTTAGGACAGGGCTAACGTTTTGTACCTGCATTTACAAAATATTTTGTACCTACATTTACATCTCCTGCCTCTGTACCCCTGCATTTGAGTTCTCCCTGTAACTCAGGCAGGTCTTGCATGTAACAAGTCCCTTAATTTCTCTCTAGAATGCCCTAGAGCTGTCTGATAGCCAGTTATGGAAAGAAAATACCATCTGATTATCATCTTGTCCCTTTTCTTTCATTGTCTGCTTTTTCAAGCATGCACTTAGTTCAAACTGCTATGCTGTGAAATAAGGGAGATACTGAAACGTTTGTTAAAGGAACAGATAAATCTGTTGCAGCCAATTTGTGATGGTCATGGATTTAGAGTTCAGATCCTTCTGGCTCTCCTACCAAGAATTCATTCAGCTGTGGGGGTAAAGTTACCTGAAGTTACTTTTTGTGGTAATTTGCATACACTGAGAAGAGGCCACACTAAGGCAGTGAGTGCTTTGGGCTGAATTGCTGTCCCTTGTAAGTGCTGATAAGAGAGGGCTGCAGGAATCTCTAGTCACTCCTAAGGCCTCTGTTTTCCTTCAGACGTCTCAGTTGTTAGGTGGTTCTTTCATGTTTACATCCTTCAGCCTTTCCAAGTCCCAGTTCTGAAGGCCTGGTAAGGGCAGTGGAGTGTTGGATCAGCTGCTGGGAGCTTTGGCACGAGATGTCCCAAGGACAGGCATCAGTTCCACAGTTTTCCTGTCAGTGCTAGGAGGAGTTCAGTGCAAAAGGAAAGATGTTTTCAGGCTTTTCCCTGCTTCTCTCAAACTCATTTTCTGCTCAGTTCAGACTGTAATTAAAAACCTACCAAGAGTATAAGCAGCAAGAATAGCTTTCACTGACCAGCAAAATTGTTCTTCACACAAATGTTAATGGCCTCTTGGTGAGGGAGAATTGTGTTTTCTCTTCAAAGGGCACACCTGTCCAGATGTACAAATTTCCAATACTGAGGAACTCTTGCCTTTTTTGTGCTACATAGTTGTGGGATGTTTCATGTGTCCAGCTTGGCGTGGGCAATTTCTATTCTGACATGTTCGTCTGTGGTTAACTTGGAGTCCCACACAGTGAGAAACAATGCAGCTGGATCCCAACAGGTGCTTTGTGCCCAGCCTTCACTGCTGTGCCAGACTAAAGGGCACATTCCTGGCAGAGGGAGAGCAGAGTGAGGAAGCAAAGGGCAGGTGAGGAACCTGAAATCCTTTAAAGTCTTTTAAACCATCCCTTGAGTCACTCTCGAGGGGAGGACCCACTGATCCATGGCAGTACAAACAAAAGATTCTCTTACTGAAGTAGCTGCTGTGTCTAGACTTCAGTAGCTTCAGTGACTGAATGCCCTAGGCTTATATTGATACTAAAAAAATCTTTACTAAGTGCATGATTAGAATTACAGTCCATCTGGAACAGTAATCTTTCCTGTGCTGTGTTCAACGTGACTTTTCAGTAATTTATAATGCAGCACATTCCCTGGGAAAGGGAGGGTGATGTTAAAAAGTAAAAATCACCTTGACAAACAAAGACCAGAACTTCTGAAGCTTTGTTTTGAATGTTGGACACTTGAACAGTAAAGTGGGGTTTTCTGAGGATTGGAAGAGAGTGTAGAGGGCATTCAACCACAGATAGGTTCCATGGGAAAACAAAGCTTTTTGTTTTTGTTATGTCAGTGTAGACTTGATTCCTTAAAGTAGAAGGAATTGAAAAAGATTCTCAGCCATTTTCACATACTAATTTTGACAGTCACCTTTACCAGTTTTTGAAATGCCAGAGGGAACAGCTGCTAACAGCTGCTGAGCCCTTTCTTCTCAATTTTAGGAAAATGATAATGAAGAGGAGAAATCAGAAGGAAAAGGTTTTGTATTCCACTGACTGATTCAGTTCACTGGGTGCAGGCTGAGACATAATGAGCCATGGTTTCCTAGTGCTGGACATTTTGTCTTTCATGTTGTTAATTTTCCTAAAATTTGTACAGGGTGATATTTACTTAAGATCTTTCCTTCCTGCAAAGAATGTGACATTTGTAAGATGAGAACAACTTGTGTCTTGATTAGCTCTAATTGCCTGCTTGACTCTGAAAGGAGTGTGTATTACATTTTTCCAGTTAGACACTTATGCTTGCTAATAATGTTAGAAAAATGAACAAGTTATAAATACTCTTCTGCCTGACAAAGTAAATGTCTCCTTGTGTATTTTTTTAAAAATTTGTCTGTGTGGATTCCTTTGGTTGTGTGGGTTTTTATTTGTTGGTTTGGTTTTGTTTTTAATTTGAACAAGCTGCAGTTTTGGATTTTTGTTTCTTTTTAATAGCAGTACTTCAAGTTCTAATGTAGTAAAGTGAATTAAGGAAGTAGGTGTGAGAGTGTGTGACTAAACAGAGATAAATCCATTCAGTTGCTTAAAATATGGTTCATAATATTTAATAGAGGTGTACGTTATCCTAAAGTAGCTCTAAAATGTTATTACAATTAGATCCATATCTAACTGAGCACTAACCTTTTTAGGCTTCTCATTTGTTTTTAATTTGTATGCAAAATTTGATGTTTATCAGATAGGCTCTGCAGGCATAATTACCCAGGTGTCATTTAAAAACAACAGCGCTGAACTTTGTGGGTCTAAAAGTGAATCAACACAGATAAAGCTTTTACTTAGGATGCTGGATGAATAATGGACTCAAATGGAAGTATTGCCTAGCAAGCTTTTGCTGCAGGTAGAAGGAGGGAGCTGTCTTTTGTCTTTGTAAGGCTTGCTGCAGCGTGGAGAACCTGAGCATCATGCTGTATCTTAGTTAAAATTCTCTATTTAGCAATCAGCAGATTATCTTGAAATATGAGGGAATTGTATGAATAAAAGCACCTGAAAAAAGACACCCGTGAAAAGTGAATTTGTGGAGATGTCTCAGAAAATATGTGTTTAAGCCACATATGTAGG